TGCTCACTTGGGAGAGCGTGGTGCTGACAACACCAAGTCAAAGGTTAAGATCCCCTTACCGGCCATCTTTAAAAAAAAAAGAATCACCAACCAAGGAAATGGAGTCTTCTGAGTTGGGAAAAAGGACTCTGTGCACCTGCTGGCATCAATGAATCCTCTTTAGTACTTCATAATGAGTTATCTTCACGATCGTGTCAGGCTGGAATTGTCCTCCTATACCCTGGTAAGGAGTGATATTTAGTATGATGGTGACGAAGACCTTTCTATCATGATAATGCTGAACTTTCGCTATGAAAAACAATCAACATTAGCAAGAGAAGAGATGGTTTACCTTGATATATTTCACCAGGATGGGGTTGGGACTGACCCTCAAAATCTTAAGTGTCTTGCTTGCTTCTGTAAGATAGATCAGGACCCTTCAGGAATACAAAAGAGGGAGGGAGACCAGAGAGAAAGGACCCTCCAGACCCCTCCAAGGAAGACTCTGTATGAATTGAAAGGTCACATGACGAGAAAAGTAATGTTTTGCACCATTCATTGGACATTGTGTTTGTTATCAGCTCATAGCAAGCAAGATTGTTTTCTATCTGGTCATGAACTGCACCTGCAGTTGTGGGCTTACAGGGTGATGTTTCAGATAGGACAGAGGTATTTATCAAGATTTTACCACCCTTTGGCAATGAAACCAGACTGCTTTTTTTAGCACAGAGATTTTGGTGTCTGTCCCGAGGAGGAAGTTAAATTTAGCACATTTCCTGCTAGTGAACAGTGCAGCACCTCCTGGGTCTTAAGTTGTGTCACATTCTTTTATGTCTATTTGTGGGATCTCTCCTTGTAAACTGCTAGACCTTTGAGGAGCCTGAGTTTATGGCTTGTCACCATAAATCCTTACAGCCCACCAGGAATGGTGCCAACTGGATCGTATCTTCATAGTGATTTCTTATTCCCAGCCCTGGGAATGTTGGGAATGACTCCTCAGATGGAGTGTATGTGTGCTGGAATGTGTCCATGCTCATGAGCTTAATAATGTAAATGGCATTCTGTGTAACCTTCCTCAGACTCTTCTTGCACCTGGTCCTGAGAAATGTGTTTGCATTGTGTTGGGTTTGGGAAAATCGGATCAGCACCAGCCCCACCTGGCACCAATTTGAGTCATTCTAGCAGGTTGTGCAGCCTCCCAGAGAGAAGTGATTCTGGAGCAAGCAGGATGAACTTTCAAGGCCATAGGCCCTCCTTCTGGGTCAAGTGTCAGAGGCAC